GCTCTAATCAACTGAGTAACTAGCCAGCCTGACATCCAGTTTTTAAAAGTAAACATTTTATTGAAATATAACATACTTACAAATAATTGGTATGAAGCTCAAGTTTTCACAAAGCAAACATACTTGCATACATAGGCTTTGACCCACTTTTAGGATTATACCCTAAGAAAACATTAATACTTAAATGCACAAAGGTTTCACTGTAAGGCTATTTAGTGTTGTTTATAACAACAACAAAGATGAAAACAGAAGCAACCTAAATATCCAGTAATAATACAATCCAGGATCAGTTAAGTAAGCTGTGTTATACACACAACAGAATAATATGCAGCCATTAAAAATAATAAGAAAGTCTTTAATAACAGAAAAATATTCCTGTCAAAAAATGTAATATAAGGGCTGGCTGGTTAGTTCAATTGGTTAGAGTGCAGTACTGACAACACCAAGGTCTGGGGTTTGATACCTGTACTGGCCAGCCACCCTCCATCCCCACCTCCAAAATGCAATATGGCTTCATTTAAGTTAAAAAATATATTTTAATATTCATTTGTTTTTACCTATGTGCATTTACCAAATTTTCTGCAATTACTATTACGTATTGCATAACTGCTGCAATATAGTGATGAGGGTATAAAGCAACACCTTTTTTTTTTTCTGGCAGCGGGCTGGTATGTGGATCCAAACCCATGACCTTGGTAGTATAAGGCTGCTCTCTAACTACCTGAGCTAACCAGCCAGCCCACATTTATTTATTTATTTATTTTTCCTTTTTGTCTTTTTTACTGACCGGTAACGGGATCGCAACCCTCGGTGTCGCGCCCGTACCGGGGACCGGCAACGGGATCGCAACCCTCGGTGTTGCACCCGCGCCGTGCTCAGCCAGTGAGCGGGAACCGGTCACCACATGGGATCCGAACCCTTGGTGGGAGCGCCGCCGTGCTCCCAAGCAGCACATTCTCCAGTGCGCCACCGGGCCGGCCCAGGCCCATTATTTTTTAAAAATTTCTATTTCTTGGGATACCTGCACTCCCATGATTATTGCAGCTCTATTTACAATAGCCAACAGTTGGAATGAACCTAAATGTCCATCGATATATGACTAGATAAGGAAAATATGGTATACATACACAATGGAATACTACCCTGCCATAAAAAAGAATGAAATTTTGCCTGTGGCAACATGGATGAACTAAGAGTAAGTTATGTTAAGTGAAATACTTGGTGTTGTCAGCACCACGTTCTCCCAAGTGAGCTAATCGGCCATCCCTATATAGGGATCCGAACCCATGGCCCTGGTGTTATCAGCACCACACTCTCCCAAGTGAGCCATGGGCCGGTCCTCTCAGTGTCTTTTAATAGTGTCTGTTTTTACTCTCGTTACTTCTCGCTTATGGAAGCATGTTTGGGTTTTTTGTGGCGTCTGATGTTGGCATTTGGGAAAAGCCAGCCTTTGAGGGCACTGCCCTGTGGAATGGCCTACCTCTCTAGGTGCCTGAGGTGTCCACTGATGGGTGGCCTCTCACCCCTCCTAGAGAAACCTGACATTTACAATAGATTGTATTTGTTGGGCAAAAAGGCAGATTTATTCATAGAGCAGAAAGAACCTGTTGGCTCACGGTCTTCCACTAATTAGATGGTTTCTTTTGGGGAAATGTTATATTTTGTAATATCTAGAAAGCCAGAAAATGGACTCTGATTTCATATCCAGAATTTTGATAAAATGCCACAAAATAAGGGCTATAGAGACATTTTTATAAGTTTGATTTTTTTTCTCCATATCTTTTAAATGAAGCCAGTGATTCCCAGTTCTCAACACATGGCCCAATCAAGACAGAACAACACTGAGAAAACCTTCTAAGTATTATGGCACTCTCTGAATCCTTCTGAAGGCATTTCCTCTACAGACATAGTATTACAGAAAGTAAAATGCAAATGTGCAATTTTTTAAAGAAGCTTTTTAAAATGAAATGAAGTTGGTATTGAGAGCATCAGTTGCCTTATTCTGAGATTTCATAAGGCTGACTTTGCACACTTTGGACTTCAGTTTTGCTGACATGTAAAGAATTGTGGACTTTAAACATGGAAGAGGTATCCTTACAAGTCACTTGGGACTGTCTCAAAGAATGGGTTCTTTGGGCAACAGATAAAGAAGAAGCAAGTTCTGCACTATCACATGAGTGTGTCTTCGTGCCATTCACTGGAGGTGTGAGTTTGGAACGTGTGTGTGACTAACAATCGCTGTTTAAAAATGTGAGAGTGCATCGGAAGCACATGGTGTTTGTGATGTCCTCTACCATGGCCAGTCCAACTCCTGTCTGTTTTTTTTACCCAGAGGCTTAATTAAATGATGTGACAAAATGATGTATGAGCATTAAGACGATAGAATTCTTTATTTCTGGCTGGAAAGATGTACTAGATTAGATTTATCTGTTTTAAAAAAGAATAATACAAAAGTTATCACCAAAACCCCCTTTCCCATCTTGCACTGTTTGTTCTGAATCCAGCGTGGGGGAAGAGATGTTTTTCTTAACTGTCTACTTGGCTTGAACACTTTTTTTGTGGTTCAAGTCCTGTTTTGTGTGTTGGGACCAAACAGTTGTCAATAAACTTTACAAGCAAGCATCTAAAAAAAAAAAAAGAAAGAAAGAATAATGACAATAATTCACTGAACTTTCAAAAGGAGAAAACAGAACTGAGGCCTCCAGAGGTGAGAAGGGAGGGAGGGGGAGAAGGGGTTAGCAAGAAATTGGTAAAGGGCCCCAAAATATGATTACGTTGAGTAATGTTGAATATACTATTTATCCTGATTTGAGCATCATATATTGCACACAGGTGTTGATATTCAACACTTTATCCACAGATATGTTATGTTTCAATAAAATAAAAATAAATAAGTAAATAAATTCCATTTCTTGCTTGTGATTGAAGTGAAGTATCAAAGAATCACCTTGGCATTCACTTTAGGAATAGAAAGTAGCCCCACGGAGGCCCCTGCCTGGATTTCAGGACTCAGGCCTCCCCACCTCTCAGACCAGCTATTAAACTTGAAACAAGTTCTCCTCATCCAGTCTACCCCATGCACCAATATCAGATTCACCCTGCTAAAAACCACTGTCACCTTGTTACTCTCTACTGCAGAACTTTCCGTAACTAGCTTTCCATAAATAGCCTCCCTAGCTCCAGAACCTGATTCAAGTACCCATCAGATCTTCTGTCTCAGGAGTCCCCCACAACACACCTCCTTTGTGTTTTCAGTCCGGGCCATCACCAACCCACTCCCATCATGCTCCTTTCAGTCTTTACATATGTGACTATGCTGCTCTCCCTTGTAGCAATGCCCTTCCTCCCCGACCCCTCCACACCTGTACCTAATAGTCCTATCTCTCCTTCAAGGTCTAGCTCAAATTCTCTTTCTTCTCTGACTATCCTAGCCCATACCTCTGGCCGCAAATGGCCTTAAAAGTCTGAACTTCCAGAGTGATTTGAACATTCAGAGTGACAGGCAACCAGGCAGTCTGGCTTACAAGGCCTGGCTGGCTCATCTTCATCATGAGGTCTCCTACCTGCTGCCTTCCTGTCTAATTCCAGCAGTCTTCATACCAGTCCACACTCCTGAAACTACAGACAGACCATCCCCAGAGAGGAGCAGAAATTCCATCTCCCACATTTGTGAGTCTCAACCAATGAGTCCTGGTTGCCTGTCTGAGGACTCACTTCTTCTATGATGATTGACACCAAGAATGTCCATTCCCTTGGGGCTGTGACTTCATCTGGTAATATAAAATTATTGATAAATACTGATGGAACCACTCAAGATTTCCAGCAGAAGATAAGTATTGTGTCTGTCAGGGAGACCTACTAATAACATAGAAAAACTAGGGAGACAATTTTGGTATAATAATGTTAAGAATAAATATTAAATGAATACTTACTTAGTGCCAGGCAGCACTTTTACATGCATTATCTCACTGAATCACAACAATCCTAAGAACTAGATCACATTATTATTCACATTTTACAGAGGGGGAAACTGAGACCTGAAAAGGTTAAGTAAACATAAGTTTACCATATGACCCAACAATTCCACCCCTAGGCAATATATACAAAAGAACTGAAAATAGGGACTCAAACAGATACTTGTACACCAATGTTCATATATATATACACAGTGAAATATTATTCAGCTTTATAAAATAATGAAGTTTGGAAGTAGATAATGGTGATGGTTGTACAACATTGCTAATGTACCTCATGTTACTAAATTAGTAACCTAATTTAGTACCTAATGTACTAAAATGTACACTTAAAAATGGTTAAAATGAATTTTATGTTATATATTTTAATATAATAAAAATAATGAAAAATAAAAAGGTTAAGTAACTTACTCAATGTCATATAGCTAGAAAGTGGCCAAGCTAGAATTTGAACCCAGACCTATCTGATTTGGGCCTGTGATCTCAACCCCTGCACTTCACTCCCTCTGGAAAGAGCAGCAAACCAGGAATTAGGACATCTGGGTTCTTTCTGTCACTATCTTGTGTGACCTTATACAAGCCTGACCTTTGAAGGTCCCACTTTGCTCAGCTGTTAAACAAGACTGGATAAAATATCTTGGACAGTCCCTGCTAGTTGTAGCCCTCCTGACTCTGTCATCTGTCCAGTGATTTTGATATTACAACATGGAAAGTCCGAAGCCTTGACTCCTAACCCAGATACCATTTGCTTCTGGCGCATTTTGGGGTCATCCACGGATGGGGAGCTCCAGGGAGGGAGATCAACTGTCCTCCCCTTCCTTAGCTCCTCCCCGAGGGGTTTGCCCTGGAGTTGAGCCAGCCCTTGAGAAAGCCTCCACTCCCCCTTCACTCCCCATTCTGGAAGAGGGCTCAGGCCTGGCTCTGCTCCAGGATAAACTTTGACAAGGCAATAGATAACACAAAGTCAAGGTGAAGATCAGGGCAGCCCTTAAAAAAGCCTCCTTGGACCCTCGAATTCTGAAGCTCTCCCACTCCACAGCTGTCCACCCTGCCTGCCGGCACCCGACCACCATGTGGGCACTCTTGGCTCTCTCACTGCTCATCCTAACCTATTTATTTTGGTCCAAGGAAAGGCACCCTGGTGCCAAGTACCCCAAGGGCCTCCCGTTCCTGCCCCTGGTGGGTAGCCTGCCATTCATCCCCAGATATGGCCATATGCACGTCAACTTCTTCAAGCTGCAGAAAAAATATGGCCCCATCTATTCTCTTCGTATGGGAACCAAGACTACAGTGATTGTCGGCCACCACCAGCTGGCCAAGGAGGTGCTTGTTAAGAAGGGCAAGGAATTCTCCGGGCGGCCCTACATGGTAAGCTGTGCCCATCCTCTCTCTTCCCACACCACCCTCTGGGGTTGTTCAGTTCTTCAGCCAGGACCATGCTTGAAATGACCCTTTCAGCTCCAACAACCTGTAGTTCTTCCGGAAACAGACTAGTTGGGTGATGTGAGGGAAGTGGCCCCTCAGGCTCCACCCAGCCTCTAAGAAGGCAGGAAGAATTAAAGGAAGGCCTCCTTTACCTGGCTGCCCAGGAGGTTGGGGGTGGAGGGGTGGTGACAGTGGGCTGAGGGGTCAGGGAGCCCTAACTCCACTCATCTCACGCTTAAACTAGATGATAATCTCTCTGGGCCTAGAACGAGAAGGTACATACAAAGCACTTAGCCCAGCGCCCAGCACAGTCAGTGCTTCATAAATAGACAGTATTAATGTTACTCTTCTTGGAAAATGGAGTAGTGATTCCAGCCCTCCATGGGAAGGTGCTGGAGAGAAGTAGCCTGGCTCTGGGAGGGCTGGGATTGCTGTTTCCCTAAAGCTGACCCCAGCTGCTCCAGCTCATCGGGGGGCTGAACTACAGTAGCATTTCAGGGATGCTGATGGTCCTACTGAGCTTGCTGTTGTGTTCCTAGGGGAGGAGGGGTGCTAACTATCCAGAAACACTGCCAATGCACCCCCATCCAATCACCCTGCTGCTAAGTACTTCCCTGAACACGCCCAGCAGGGCCCCCCGACTCTTAGCTTTGATCAGGCCAAGGGTTGACTTGTTTTCCCTCGGACCAGACAGCCAGGTCTGCTGGTCAACTACCTGGCTCTCACCTCTGTTGGGCTCCTCTCCAGGGCAGAAAGGATGGACAAGGCTAGTCAGAAGGGGATTGGAGGTCAGGGGATGAAAGAGGGAGGCTTTGAACTCATATTTTTTCAGGGGGGTTGCCTCTGGGAGGAGGCAGCTCGGCCCAAGTCGAGACTGGGTGGTCAAAATATCTGCACTCTTCAGATGTGGGCTTGTGGTTGGGTATGCAGCCTTGAAATGGAAGGGTAAACAAAAATGAGATGAGCTGGGCCTTTAGCACCCCCCAGAAGACCCAGGGTAAGACAGGGTCTGGGCAGTCTTCAATCTCTACAAGCCCACTTGCTCCCTGCTTCCAGAACAGGCACAATTCAGAGCCCTTATCCCATCCACAGCTGCCTTCCCCTGGTCAGAAACAGATGAGAAAAGAGAGGCCCAGAGGTCTCCTTATCAATGAACCGAACCCCAGGACTCCTGCATTCTAAGTCAGGGCTCTTTATTTTTCCTCCCTATACTGTCTTTCTGATGGAATTGGGAGTAGGGGCCTTCGGGCCTGTCCTACTACGACCTTAGCTGTGGTGGAGTGGAGCAGGGATGTCCCTATATGGGGGTCAGCATGCCAGGTACCTGCCTTCTCCCCCGAGAAGGGAAATGAGCACAGGAGGCCCAGGGAAAGGGAGGGGTGGATGGTGTGTGATTCCTACAGCCTTGCGTACTCTCCAAAGACGACTCTAGCCATCCTGTCAAACAACCAGAAGGGAATCGCCTTTGCTGACTCTGGTGACCACTGGCAGCTGCATCGGAAGCTGGTGCTGGCCACATTTGCCCTTTTCAAGGATGGCGACCAGAAGCTACAGAAGATCAGTGAGTGAGGGTCTGGCCCTATGTCTGGGGCTGGATCCTACAGGGACTGCTGGAGGGAGAAGTGGGTTGGAGTGGGGAAAGGGATTATGGATGGCCCAGTTCATCCTTTTCTTGGATACTGCTGCCATCTAGTGGTAATCAGCTATCTGTCCCCTGCCCTGGCAAAGAGGGAACTGGTAGAGAAGGGCTGAGGATGCTGATTCGTTCCCCACCCTACTGCCTCTGTCTCCTCTCAGTGTGTCAGGAAATCAGTTTAATGTGTGATTTGCTGGCCACCCACCATGGACAGTCCATAGATTTGTCCTTGCCTCTCTTCATGACGATAACCAACGTAATCTGCTTGATCTGCTTCAACACCTCCTACAAGAATGGGGATCCTGTGTTGAAGACCATACAGGATTACAATGAAGGCATCCTGGATATTGTGGGCCTGCAAAATCTGGTAGACATATTCCCCTGGTTGCAGGTGAGGATGAGACCAGGCCCTACCTTCAGATCCCACCTTCAGGTCTCAGCAAACCCTGACAGTGTCTCTAATTCCTCCTTCCTTTTACTGCACAGATCCAGACCCATCTTTTTCCCTGACTACCTCAGCCACAGTGACCTCTACCTCCTCTGCTTCTTAAAACCTTTGCCTCTTCTCTAAATAAATAGGTACAACTTTTTAATCATGCATCTTAATTCATGATAATGGCTCTCATTTACTTTCCAAATGACCATGTGCCAGTATTAAGCATTCTACATGCATTCATCACTGAATTTCCCTTGGAGGTAGGATTCATTATCCCCATTGTGCAGACGAGAGAACAGGCTTAGCAGGGTTAAGGAACTTGCCCAAGGCTTTAGACTCAAGTCTGTTTTACTCCTCAGAGCTGCACACACAGCAGAGTCAGTGCTTGATGTTTGATTAAATGGGGAAAAGGGAGCAGAGACCACTCCTTCCTCCCTTGCTTGGAATTGTCCTAGTTTCAATGATGATCCCATTCTGTGTCCCCATCTTGTCTTCCACTTTGGTTGAAGGTCAGGGTTGGAGTAGGAACTCTCCAGAGACAGAAAGCTAGGATCTGCCTCCAGAAGGGATGCTGGTAGCTTGAAGAAGCAAAATGGAAGAGGCGTGGATTTGACATTTCTTTCTACTCCACAGATTTTCCCCAACAAAGCCCTGGAGATGTTGAAGAATTATGTTGAAATGCGAAATAAACTGCTGAATGATATATTTGAAAAATACAAGGTAGGTGATGGAGCAGATGTGAGTCTGAGTTAGGTCAAAAGTGTCATGAGAGCAGGGATGGGTTCCATTTTGGACACTTGTAGGATCTCCAGAACCTAGCAGAGAGCTGGCACATGGTAGGTGCACAATAAAAACTAACTAAATTAATGAATGGGGGTGGGAAAATGAGGAACTGAAAAGGATCCTACAAGGGATCTATCCACCCCCCAAATTTAAAGAGGACCCAGTGCTGCCTCTTACTCCACAAGCTCATAGGTCCTGCCCAGGGTAGGTGCACAATAAAAACTAACTAAATTAATGAATGGGGGTGGGAAAATGAGGAACTGAAAAGGATCCTACAAGGGATCTATCCACTCCCCAAATTTAAAGAGGACCCAGTGCTGCCTCTTACTCCACAAGCTCATAGGTCCTGCCCAGCCCCGCTCCATTTTTGAATGGAAGGAGCTTTGTTATCTCCGGTCTGGGGTGGAAGTATGTACGGCAGGAGCATTGCAGATGGGGCTCCCTCCTTAACACTGTTTCCCAACTTCACCCAACCCAGGAGAAATTCAGCAGTGATTCTATCACCAGCATGCTGGACATACTGATCCAAGCCAAGATGAACTCAGACAACAACAATAGTGACCAAGACCAGGATTCAAAGATATTTTCAGATAAACACATTCTTAGCACCATAGGGGACATCTTTGGGGCTGGTGTGGAGACCACTACCTCTGTGGTGAAGTGGATTGTGGCCTTCCTGCTGCATGATCCTCAGGTGGGCTTCTCTCTACTCCTGTCTTCCCATCCACCATAGACCCCAGCCAGCCCAACCTCTGGGCCCCAGAGAAAGGGAAAGGTAATACCCTCAGGCTTCTATACAGGAAGAGTGGGCCTGCCCCAGCCCTTACCCAAGCACTGGTTGGCTCTGACCCCAGGGTGGAGCTGCCCCATCTTCTGGAAGCAGGGCCTTGGCTGCATAGCCACCGCTGGGAAGGTCTTAATAGGCTCTTCTGGATGTGACACTTGGATTCTTCTAAGCCCATGCTTCTCCTGGGCTTAAGCACACTGGTCACATCCACCCTGCTCTGGCCCTCAGTTGCAGAAGAAGATCCAGAAGGAGATTGACCAGAATGTAGGTTTCAGCCGTACACCAACTATCAGCGACCGGAACCACCTTGTCCTGTTGGAGGCCACCATCCGAGAGGTGCTTCGCATCAGGCCTGTGGCCCCTATGCTCATCCCCCACAAGGCTAATGTTGACTCCAGGTATGCCTTCCCTCCTAACAACATCCCGCACTAGGAAGTATCCAACACTGCTTGCCAGCCCACCTGCCTGGCTCCCCCTCCATACCCCCCACCCACAGCTGCTGGTCAACCTATAGCTAGTCAACCATTGACTACTATCAATCATCCTACCCCTGACCTTACCGATCAATGCATCCACCACCCACTGACACCCACTGACTAATCCACAGATCTACCTAACTTGGAGGCATATGGTCTGAGATGAAGACTGGGCACTCTACATTCTGACCCAGTCCCACAGCTGTAGCATATGCACACATATATGCACCTGCTCAAAATGCACAGCCACACACCCTTGATAGACACGAATGTCCGTGGACACAAGTGTTAATACATAAGTACTTGCCAGGAGGAAAGGGCTGGAGAAGGGCTGGATTCAGATCCAATCTGGCAGAAGCTGATGAAAAGATGAATGAGTGGGAACGGGGGAGTAAAAAGGCCCTTTCCTCCCAGGGTGGAGGGATATGGAGGCTTAGGGCTGAGCAGGAAAGGGAAGACAATGTTCCAGACCCCCTTTTCCTCTCTCTCTCTGGGGCAGCATTGGTGAGTTTGCCATTGACAAGGGCACACATGTTATCATCAATTTGTGGGCGCTGCATCATAACGAGAAGGAGTGGCACCAGCCGGACCAGTTCCTGCCCGGTGAGTCCCTGTCCTGTCCTGCTTTCTGAGCCACACAGCCAGCCTGAACTCTGTGCTCCACCGCCCCACAATCTTTTCCCCTCTGCCAAGCTTGCTACTAGAAAACTCTTGGCTCCAACTACATGGACCCCACTCTACTTCCAACCAACAGCAAATTTACTCCTCTGAGAAGTCCTCTAGGCATCTGTTTCCCATTAAGTCTGCCCACTCTGCCCGTGGATGCTGGCATTTTCATCTGTTAATACTGCCTCCTTTCCATCCTTCCTGAATATTTCATTTCCTCTGTGTCATTAAGGGCCCTGAGAGCAGGGCTGTATCTCTCCTTAGGCTGGCGTTCCCCCAAGTAAGACTGTCTACCTCTTCAGACTGGGGTTTCCCGGGCAGGGCTGTGTCTCCCCCTCAGCCAGGGCAGAAGCCTGACTCTACTTACCCCTGCCCTTGCCCCTGGCTGATGCCCCCCCTTGCCCACAGAGCGCTTCTTGGACCCAACGGGGAGCCAGCTCATCTCACCAACGTTAAGCTACTTGCCATTTGGAGCGGGACCCCGTTCCTGCATAGGTGAGTTCTTGGCCCGCCAGGAGCTCTTCCTCATCATGGCCTGGTTGCTGCAGAGGTTCGACCTGGACGTGCCAGACAACGGGCAGCTGCCTGCCCTGGAGGGCAACCCCAAAGTGGTCTTTCTGATTGATCCTTTCAAAGTGAAGATCAAGGTGCGCCAGGCCTGGAGGGAAGCCCAGGCTGAGGGTAGCACATAGAGGCCATGCCCAACACCCCAACTCCACCCTGTGTGGCCTCACAGCACAGAATTGGAGGTGCTATTCCCTCCCTCCTCCGCCATCTCTCCCTCCTCCCAGCCAACTCTGCCTTCTTTTCTAGACAGCAGCAACAGCAGTGATTCATTACTCATTCATTACTCATTTGCTTACTCATTCTTTCAACAGACATTTTACTGAGCACCTACTATGTGCCATTCACTGCCCCAGGACATTCAAACTCCCTGATCTCATGAAACTTCCATTCTAGTGAGGGCTGGCAAATAAAAAGAATTTCAGAGACTCATAAGTGCTTTGAAGTCAATTCACTGCCCCAGGACATTCAAACTCCCTGATCTCATGAAACTTACATTCTAGTGAGGGCTGGCAAATAAAAAGAATTTCAGAGACTCATAAGTGCTTTGAAGTCAATTACACCGAGTGATGTGATAAAAGGATGGCAGAGTTGGGGGGTGGCACTTAAAACAAGGCTTGGGAAGGTGTGATGATCTCAGGACAAGTGCTCCATGTTGAGGGAGCAGCAGGTGAAAATCTCACTGTGGGAGAGGTCAGCATGGCAAGAGCCAAGAGAATGAAGGGGAAAGTGGCCCCTGATGGGGTCACAGTGGGAGATGGGGGCCTTTGTAAGTAGCAGAAAGGAATTTAGGTGTTTATTCCAAATATAAGAAGTCACTGGAGGGTTTAAACACATGTAAGTGGAATTATGTGATTTGTATTTTTAAAAGATCCCCCTAGTTGCTGCGTGAAGAATGGTCTGTAGAGAGATGAGAATGGAGCAGGGAGAACAGATAGGAAGGAGGTGGGTGTGCAGGTCCAGTAAAACAGGACAATAGTGGTTTAGACCACGGCAACAGAAGTGGAAACGCTGAAAAGTGGTAGAGTTGAGTTCATATTTTCAAAGTAGAGCAACAACAGATCTGTTTGTTTTGATCCAAACAGCCTTTGCCTCATATACCTTACGGATCTGGTTTGGGGGGTGTTGCGTGTAACCCATAAACTCGATATGCCACTGCTGTCCTTCTGTCTTGGTCCACAAAGACCAGCAAATCTGCTTTTCCTCATCCTTCTCTGGGGCAAACACTGCCAAGAAGGGGTTTCTACAGCTGCTTCCTGCTGCAGTGCCTGGGTCAAGCCCCTTTTACCCACTCAAAAACCCCAAGAAGTCTATAAATGCTTCCTTGTTAGAAAATGGATCCCAGACTCCTTTAAACCAGCATCTGTAAACCTTGGCCATTGGCCAGTCTGCAAATGAAGAATGTCTTGGGAGAAACCGACCCTTGCCCTTTAGCCTAGAGAGAGGCCCCATCCTTGGTTCCCTGGCGCCAGCCAGATCAGGGTCAGATCATCAACAACTCAGTCCTTCCCCTCTGAGTGGACAGAAGGCTCTGGAAGAGCCAGCAGGGCAAGGCTGAGACCCCGCCTGGGTAAGTTTTCACAGAGAAGAAATCAAGGGAGCCCCTGCAAGGAGAGAGGGACCAAGTCTTCAATTATAGCAGCACCTTCCTCCTTAAAAAGAGCTTCGTTAGTCTAGTGGTAGTGGACCATTCCCCGCTATCCCCCCAACTCAGTCTTGGCCTTCACCAGCCAGTGACCCTGGGACCTTGCTAACAAGCCCATAGGAGAGTTGTGGGAAGCTGCGGCTGACCCCAGCCCCCATTACAAGCAGCCTGGGAGAGATGCTGACACCAGAGTAAGCTGAAGGGAAAGGCTAAACGGGAGGTTGCCCCTGTCCCTCTCCCAGTTTCCCACCAGCTGTCTGCTGGGCTAGCACCAAGCTACCCTCAGCATAAAGCAGAGGGGAGCAGGATTGGGCTGGAGGAGAGTTAAGTATTTCAAATTTGCTCAGAATTTGAAAGGCATTTTGTAGACTAGTGATAAACAGATAATCAGTAGAAGGCCTGTGTTCTCTGTACAAGCAGTGACTGAGTTTAACTGGGATGGTAAACATCTAGTCTTCATCTATTGAATCAGAACACCGAATGGCAGGGAAATGAGAGAGTAATCTTTCATTTTTTTTTTTTTTTAAAAGATGGCCGGTAAGGGGATCTTAACCCTTGACTTGGTGTTGTCAGCACCACACTCACCCAGTGAGCTAACCGGCCATCCCTATGTGGGATCCGAACCCGGGGCCTTGGTGTTATCAGCACCGCACTCTCCCGAGTGAGCCACGGGCCGGCCCTAACCTTTCATTTTGAAGATGGGGAAGCTGAGAGCCATCGTAGGGGGCATGGGAGGGAGACAGTGTGACTTGTCCCAAGCCACACAGCTATTTAGCAACAGGGATGGGATCAGAACCCAGGACTGCAGTGATGCACAATGAGGAGCCAGCCAGGTTTTCCCACCTGTCTCCTGAGGTCATGCAGAAGGCTCTCAGGATGTTTGGCCTGGGAGTGAACCTTTCAGAAATGATCTCATGAATTTCGACTCCTCATACAGAGCGGCCACTCACTGGCTGAGCGAGGCGTGGGTGCAACACCGAGGGTTGCGATCCCGTTGCCGGTCACGAAAAAAGACAAAAAGAAGAAAAAAAAAATTCCTAAAAATGTAATCATCAGCTCTAGTGAGGCACAACCCTCCCAGGAGAAATGGACGGCTCCTATCCTTCAGAAAAGCAGCTCCCAGAATCTCCCTTCTGAGGAGGGGAAGTCCCTCCCTCATAACCTTGGTGTGGAGTGTGGGTGGGTGACTGAGGGAATGTTCCAGTCGGCCTCTGGTGGTTATAAAACCTGAAGTAAATGAGACCTCTCTGCAGTCATGCTCAGATATTAACACCCATCTTGGGAGGGTAAGGATCCAGTCACAGAAGCCAGAGTGGGGTGGGAAGAGCACTAGATGAGGAGAAAATGGGACACCCAGGTGCTGGTCCCCGGGCTCTCCAGTTTCCTAGCCCTGGATCTTACACCATTTGCTAACTTCCTAATGCTTAGTTTCCTCATGTGTTATGTGGGGTAACTCACCATCTGTGCTGCCCATTACCTGAGGCTCTGTCAAGAAGGCAGGTAGAAAGGGCTGTGAGCAGGACAGTACCACACAGAGGGAAGTTACAGATGATACAAAGCCAGGCTGTGAAGACAAATTCTCCCAGTGCTATCATCTACAGACCGAGTGACCATGGGCAACTTACCTGGCCTTCTTAAACCTGTTTTCTCATCTGTGATGGGGCTGAGGGGCTGAGGTGTGTATAGAAATAGTACCGACCTCAGAGTGTTGCTGTGAGAATCAAATATGAACTTACATAGCATGTTTAGTGCCTCGATAAATAATGGCTTTATCATAATTGTCTATATCCAGATCCACAAAATAAGTCCTTCTCTGAGGGAAGCCTCCAGCTCGGTCAGGAGGGGGAGCAGGTGTGCCCAGACGCGTCCATCCACAGGACAGGACCTTGGGAAAGTCATCCTTGCAGCTCCAGCGGCCCCGCAGGGCCCACCCGCAGCCCCTGGCCTGCCGTCTGCAAGCTCCATCCGGTCAGGAGGGGGAGCAGGTGTGCCCAGACGCGTCCATCCACAGGACAGGACCTTGGGGAAGTCATCCTTACAGCTCCAGCGGCCCCGCAGGGCCCACCCGCAGCCCCTGGCCTGCCGTCTGCAAGCTCCATCCCCTCAGAGCCAGGGCAGGCTGACAGCTGCGAAGTGGGTGGAGAGCCCAAAGACAAACTCTTTTCATGGCTCCAACACAGAGAGTGTTTTGTAACATTTTCCAGTTGGATTGGGTTTCCTGAGACTTCTTGGTGAGAAAACACGAAATGAAAGGAATATTAAACTATGGTGAGGAATAGTCTTACAAAGGGTGAGGAGCAATTTCAGATCAAACAAAAATCCTCTTCTCCCCCTTACAAACACAGAAAGCTCTATTTTTATCTCCTCTGAGGAAGAGCAAAACACTCTTTCAAGGAAAAGAGACAAAGAAGATCCAAACAGCTTTAATTCCGAGAATTTTACAATGTTAGCAAAGGGCTACGCCCTCCCTGTGGAAGTTAACATTGGTCTGAACTTGAAGCAGGCACTATCTACCCCAGGTGTGAGGCTACTGAGGGGCTCTTGGAGGTGAAGCCTGGGCAGGTGTGGGGGCCTCAAGGGGGCGTATGATGTTGGCAATAGGGGAGAGGGGAGAGGGTACAATGTAGCTCCCAAGGAAACAGTGTCTGCTTCATCTTTCACCATGTTACTCCCTGTACACCTTTCTTTGGTTCCCTCACCTTTGAAAAGCATTCACAGTTCTTCACACGGTTTGTGAGCACCAATACTGTAACCCGTCACTGTCTGGCCTACTAGTTAACTGCATGGGCTCTGGCTTCAAGTCCTGGCTCTGCTGCTCTCTAGCTGTGTGATCTGAGCACAAGTTAGTTAAATCTTCTGAATGCCTCGAGTCCATTAATAAAGCAGTAACAATTATAGTCCTATACCCTGGAGAGCTATTTTGAGGCCAAAATAAGAAAATGTAGCTAAGATGCTTAGACAGGACCCAGCATTGTGTAAACAGTCAATAAATAAAACAATAATGACAAATTAAACCAAAATCTTTTTATTACCTGCTTACCTCTCCAGCTTTATCTCTTGCCACTTCCCAGAATGCAATTACCTAGAAAGATTAAATTGCTCAGTTTCCCACATGACGCACAGTCTCCCGTTTTAGGCCTCCCACGTGCTTTTATGCTTTTCAGCACCTGGCACATAATAGGCACTCAGTAATCTGCACAACAAATGTTTGCCTATAATTCCCTTGCACCTTTCTTTACCTGCAAGCTCAGTTTAGACTTACATCCTCCAGGAAGCCTGCCCTGAACCCTCAGTTGGGCTAAATTCTGTTCTATAGCATCCTGTGCACACACACTTTGTGGCACTCACCACGTGGTACTTAAACTGCTTGTGTGCTTTTCTTCCTCTTTTCTGTAGAGGAGCCAAGTTTGAGACATCTTTGCAATCCCAATGCCTAGCACATGGCAGGTGCTCGATAAAGGCTCAGCTCTTAAGTAAGGCCAGTCACATACCCTCAGGCTGGAACTCAGACACCTCCCAAGACCCACAGCTCTTCCCAGCAGGTTCAGCAAGCAGCAGCTGGCCAACAGTCAGCCAAACCCACTTTCTCCTCCTTCTCCTGCGTCAAACCCTGGCTTTTGCCCCCTGGCTTGAAACAGAGGAATCTGGAGAATGGGGAGTTTCTTGAAATTCTTGTTCATCAAAACTATTCTCTTTTGTGCTTTAGGGCATGGGTCCTGTCTCTACCTGAACTTGGTCACTTGGAGCAATAGAGACAACCAACCCCCACCCATCATTAGAGAAATGAGGAACTCAGTGATCCAGGAGCCTGGGGTACAATAAGAGGGCCCTACAGACCTGGGCATCAAGGGTACATAAACAGCCTCTGGCAAAGAGCCCATAGGAGTTGTTCCATTTTGTTTTTGTGCTACTCAGACATTAGTTTAAAGAAGGCAGGAGTGATGTACCTCCCCTAGTTCTTTCCTGTGGTTTTAGAACAGAACTGTCCGTAGATGCTAGTACAGCTCCACTGGGGTTGCCAAGAGGAGCCCCACAGTTTGGAAGGAACCAGGTAGCAACCATCCCACTAGAGTCACTGAGGGGCCAGGACAGTGTCCTCTGGCCCAGGGTCAAAGACAGGGGTGGGGACATGGCTGGCTAACACCAGACTCTAAGGAACAAGAGCTGACTGCTAGGTGAGGCCAGGACCTAGAGAGGTCAACATTCACTGCCAGCACCCCCAGTGCCCCAGTCCATTAGTGAGCACTCAACCTGGGGAGTCAGGAACCCCTTGTTTTGCTCACCTGCAGGTGGCCCAGAGAAGTCTTGCTCTGGGTACGGGTGCCCTCCTTTCTGGGCAGAGGCAGCAGCTCGTGCCTTCCCATGGTCTTTGAGTAGGGACTTACACCTGACTCAAAGGTCTGAGGATGGTCTTAAACAGAGGGTTAAATGAACTAAGGAACTCTCATTGTCTTAGGAAAAAATCGTTGGCCCACAGTGACAGATGTTGGCACAATGGTGGCTCCCCAACTACCTAAAAATCAGTTCTGTGACTTTCTGCCTGGCATTCAAAGACATCAAACTATCCCCCACTACTCCCTGAGTCTCTGAGTCTGTGCTGCTCACTTTATCTCAACCTACCTTCTATTGTTAACTACCTCACATGGGTATATTTTGTCTTCCTAACTATAAGGGCAGGGCCTTGTCTTATACATTTCTTTCACATTGTCCTTAGCACTCAGCACAGTGTTGGGCACAAGGTGGGCAACTCCATAAATATCTTGTGTATTAAATTCAAAGGCCAAGTAGCCCCCCCCCCCCACCACCACCACCATTTCTATCATATCAACAAAAGAGACCTCTTGGAATGCTTGCTTCCTTTGAAATGTTTTAGCCATGGGGTATCGGACAAAACTTAGTTTCTGCTTTTTTAGGTCTGATTTTAACCTGCTTGTGAGACTTTACAAAGTACTCCAAACATGAGAAACATACCCTTGACAGAGAGAGGGTTTGGGGGAAAATTCCTCAGGACAAAGTGTGGACTCAGCAGCATTATCCAGCCTGCCCTGGCCCTGTGGTTTCTGTTTGGCCCAGGACCCTGTCATCAAATGCTATGCCACACCTCTCAGACTGCGTGGAGAAGGGAAAAGTGCTTGTGGTTTGATCTTGAGGTGTGATTCCCCAAAGTCAAAGAGGAAAAAGGAACAAAGTGCTGCAAGAAAAAAGAGCAGAATTTTGGGGACTGATTTTTATTTGGGCTTCTCACAGTGGTTAGAGCCACTCTGTCTTCAGAACAATCACAGCACAGGAAATGTGTCACCAAGACTGCCCAGAAAAGTCTGACCAGCTGAATCTTATTGCTTAAAATACACATATGCACAATAACTGACAAATGGTGATGTGCCTCACACAGGAATGTGTTAGCATTTGCAAATCTTCTGACTGTAGCACCATGCCCTCGACCAAGCCCTTCCTTCTCATTCACCTGGAAAACCAGACTCAGTCAAATCTCCCTGGCCCCCTACCTATTCCTCCAATTATTTCTATCCCTCTCCGAGAGAAGAGAGACGGGTAGCCTCCTGCGGCAGGGGCCAGAAGGTGACTCTGGAATCAAGGCCAGCTCAGCAGGTTGCATTGTCTTCTTCTCATGCCTTTAGGGTAGGACGCTGCAGTGAATCCAACAGTTAATGGTCAGACCAGTTCCCCACTCTAACTGGGGAAAGAAACTTGAGAGAGCGGGAATTTATTCATTTGATCAGTTAACTGAAGGATTCATTCTGGTAGAACTTCGAGACATTTCACTGAGTGGTTTGGGATTATAAAAAAAAAAAAGGCGGAAGGAAAGGCATCCAAGGGCTGCTGCACCCCAGCCACTCTGGCCACATACCAGCTTGCTCACACCTGTTGTAACTCGGTAAAGGGAGGTGAGCCCTGTGGCCTTGTGGTGTCCACCAAAGCCTCCTGGCAAATCTGGGCACAGCCCACGTCTAGGCCACAGCTAGTCCAAGCTTGTCACTGAAGAGCCAATCAAGCTTCTATCTGAAATTACACCATGGTCTTCTGTCCCAAGTGGTTGTGGACACCCCCCCCGGAAGCTGATACCGAGGTCCAGGAGCAGCTGAGGGAGGCAGACAGGTTCAGAGCATGTTTCCATTTACAGGGAACACAACACAGGCCTCTGAGTATCCACGGAGCAATGTGCAAATCGCAGTGAGGAGCAGAGTAAAATCTCTACTTCGAGCACAGTATCTCAGGCAAGCACAGGGAGCTGCCGTCGATGCTGCTGCTGAATACACCCGAGTCCACAGTCAGACATTTGTTCAGTAAACAGTAAATGCGTAAAATAAATTACCTTGAGAGGGCCATATTTTGCTGCAGACATGTGGTTAACGCGAGCAGAATGGCTGCCATTCAAAGTATCTTCACAGGAAAACAGGGCTTGGGGTTCACACACAATGGACAGACACACACAGGACATCCGAAAAGTCATTATGTATGAACTTCACTTTGTTCGACATGGATTTTGGTTTTGTGGAATCCAAACGCAGACACTCGTTCACCTCATAGCCTTGGATTTGTCTGGTTTTGGATATACGTGTGTGTGTGTGTGTGTGTGTATATATATATATATATATATATATATATATACATATATAACATATATATATATATTTTTTTTTTTTTTTTTTCTCCTTTCTTACCAAAACGTCAATGCCTAGTCTGAAAATCTTCATTCAAGAGTGGGGCAAGAACCAAACTCTTATATGAACATGGCTGGATGGGGAATGTTAGTTTCAGCTGTTTGCTTCCTCCATTCAGATTATTCCTATCAAAGCTCAACTGGTTATCTGAAGCCAAACAATGGTAATAAGAATCCTGCAGGCCTTCTGGACGGCTGCCTTTACCCTCCTACCTGGATCCAAAGGGGCCACTTAGACTCCTTACATACACCAAACAAAAATTAGTCACCCCACTCAAAAAGGGTGGGAGTAGGGACAGGGCTTGAAAACCACAGATAACCAAGGTATTTCTTCCAAGTGGTCAGTTTAAAACAACAACAACAAAAAAAAATTTATTCAGATTCCAAGAGAAAATACTGTGTGAGAGCCAGGTATTGGGGCTGCCCTTTCTCAGGACCCACGGCTTTCTCAGTCTGTTTGTTCATATGGATAGTGAGACATTAAGGCCCACAGAGTGTGCGCTTGAGTGGAAGGAGGATATTGGTCACCTGTGGGCACAGACCAAAGGGCAAAGATGCAGAAAGCTGCACCTCTATCCACCACCATGGCTTGGGGCCTCTGGCTCACAGAAATTCCCAAGATAGCCCCCACCCAAGCCTTCACACAAATTACCTCCTTCTGGCTCAACTCCAGTCAGGCCCTTTGAAGGCCAATTTGGGAAAGAGCCATAAATTTCCCTTTTCCAGAAGAGAATTCTTGTCTACCCACTGGTAAGGTTCTTGTTTTCAGCTGGCTTTTGTTGTTTTTAAAAGAAAAACCAAAGAGAAGGAAGTATAATTTTCCATACCTGAACCAGTCTGCAGCCAGCCAGAGCCTGCTGGACAGCAGCCCTCAAGGATGCACAGTGGTGCACCAAGCTTGTCACATGGAATTGAAGAGATCCACAAGCCCCCTACCAACCTACCATAGGGTCATCCACTGTCATCCTCCCACAGGGTCAGCCCAATTCCAGCTCTAAGGATGCTGGCAGCCACAGGTGACAATCTCTGGGCCTCTGTGGGCTTCCTTCACCCAGGGCCAAGATGCCTGCCTCTCCTGGACTGAGACAAAGCAAAGTTTTCTTAAACAAAAACCAGAGCATAAATCCACTCCATCACCAAGAATCATCTCAGGGCAAGTCCAGCCCCCTTCCCTGGGGCATTTAAAACACACATCTCTCTGAACCAAACAGGTAGATGAGATATGATCTGAAAAGGGGAAAAAAGGGATTGTGAGTGGGGTACAAGGAATGAGTCACAGAACCAACTTCTCAGCCCACCACAACACTGTGGTTTTGTCAGGGGAGAGGCATCTATACCTCAAACTGTACCTAGTGATGCAGGAAAATGCAGGGGAGGAGGAAAAAAGAAAAAACAAAACAAACAAAAAAAAAAGTGGCTGTACCACTTTCTTTGAAAGTCACTTAATGCTTTTCTCGTGGTTCTCCCCTCTATACCTCAAACTGTACCTAGTGATGCAGGAAAATGCAGGGGAGGAGGAAAAAAGAAAAAACAAAACAAACAACAAAAAAAGTGGCTGTACCACTTTCTTTGAAAGTCACTTAATGCTTTTCTCGTGGTTCTCCCCTACCCTGGTTGCTTTGCTGAGTTCTTGGGTGCAGGCAGGGCCTTTTCTAGCTGGAGGAGCTGCTGCTCTGAGAGTTTGGAGAGTCCTGCTCGTTGATGGTGTTCAGCAGTAGGCATGCGGGTGGCTGTATTAGGTGGGCGTGCCCAGGCTCTTGAGCCTGCTCCTCGGAGGGCTGGCAGAGGCCTTCCTCCTCATCGCCAGGAGGCTGCACATGGCAGCTGTCACAGAAGTCCAGGGGTCCATCCAGAACATCGTCGATGAGCGTGTTGAACTCTTTGAGGTCATCGTCATGGTGGCCCCGGTTGCACACACACACCTCGATGCCCGAGTCACCTGTGAAGCGGCGATGTCTCCCAGGCGTCTTGTCTTTGCTGTCAGGGGGTGTGCTGCCGTGCTCAGAGCTGTAATCTTTCAGCAGCTCCTCCTTACATTCAGAATCCTTGTCCAGGAAGGCCCCTTGGTCCAGCTCTGCCGGGCTGGCCACAGAGCCACTGGGCTCCATTCCAGGGGCTTTGGTGGCTGCTCGGTTGGCTGGCACATCGGAGGGCTCAGGGTCGGTGATGCTCGGGGGTCTCGTGCTGCTTCTGCTGGGCCCAGACAAGGGGCTGCTCTGCACCCCCTGGGAGCCCCTGGTGGGATCAGCACCCAGGGGGCTGCCACTTGCAGGGCCACACTGTGGAGGCAACTGCTGCTGCTGTAGCTGGAAGGCACTGTATGGTGGGGGAGGAGTTGGAGGTCGGTTCACCACTTCCTCATAAGGAGGTAGTAAATAGTTTGGCAAAAACCCTAAAATGGGGAGGTAGGGAGGAGAAATTACTGCACTGGAATTGTTCTAGGAAGGATTACAAAGCTCACACTAAACCTACGCACTATCTCTTCCACCTCAGCATACTACCAAGTGACAGCTATAGCTCTTAGTTATTGGCAGGGGAGAGGGCTGTGAGCAATGTTGCAGAGAAAGGGGGACAGTTTAGGAGTGACCTAATCTAGCTTCTTGACATCTGAGAGCCCCTAAATCTGCTTCACAGGCAAGGACTTCCCATCAGGAGTCAAGGCAGAGGGTTAAGCAAATGTGGTGGATAGCCAAGAAATAATTTGTCTGGAATGGACCTATTTCCACATGCACGCAAGTCTCATGTTTCTCGCTCAGACTGTGTCTTCCATCTAAGTCCCATAGGCCTGAGAGATTATAACTATGACTTCTTGACCATTTTTTTCCTTCTCCCACCCTTCCAGATGTATCATGAAGAGGGTCTTTTTCTGGGAGGTTAGCAATCTGTGTTGTTTCTCTCACTCATGAGAGTGGCCTAGAAAGACAAACTGAGCTTCACTTTGACTTTGATCAAGAGTGGCTGGTTACAAGCAAAGGGTGAGGATCCTCTGTCATGCAAGGCTTATTAACAACATGCCAGGTGAGTTATCTTTTGAATGTGTGGAATGCCCTGAGGAACAATAATTACTAGCATTTACTGTGCACTTACTATATGCCAGGCACTGTGCTAAGCACTTAACCCTTCTAAATGTGGAATTCAAAGAATTGTGACCATTTTATTTCATAGAAGACACTGCAGAATGGTTTTGGACAGGCTGCACAGTTGGGTCTCCATTGACCATTTGAGAGGTCATGTGCAAGGAAACCCAGGGAAGGCCAGGGAGTGCTCTTCAGTGAGTCACCAAGTTTTTTGGTTCTCAGGAAGTCCCAATGCTACCCCCACACCTGCCTCTTTCAAGGCAGCCTGCTCAGGCCTATAACATGGCATTAAGCAAACTGGGAAGAATTCAGGCCATTGAACTCCAAATCTTGATTCACTACCTTCCTTAAAAAAAAAAAAATCTGGGCCGGCCCGGTGGCGCACTGCTATAGTGCGCCGCTTGAGAAGCGCGGTGGCGCTCCCGCCGAGGGTTCGGATCCCACAATTACTCAGCGCTGCCATTTTATTTCAGTACGTACACCAAAAGCCACCCTCAGGAGCTCAGGTGCACAGACCCAGGGCCCAGACTGTATACTGCCAACGAGGACCCCCATGAACATGGTGGTTTGCCTGCCCTGTCGTGCACAGTGCAG